AGCATAAATGTAAAATGTAGTTACTTAGATTGTGGGAAAAATTAAACGATGAGCATCAAAATGAACCCAATATAAATAAAAAATTTCAATGATGGTTATTACAAGAGTGTATACATGTCTATTCCCAGAAATTAATAGAAGGTCGAACGATTCGAACCAACAAAACAACGGAGAATAACAAGTTTGTCAATAAATAGTAATAACTACTACCCGTTCCACAAGAAGTGGCTATAGTTCCTCCATGGCACTGTGGATAACGCCTTGGCGTTTGAGGCGGTGGGTACGAGGTTCGAGTTTCAGTGGGAACAACATCACTGGGGTGCAGGTACATCCAGCTGACGAGTCCCGAACAGGACGAGACGAGCGTCCTGATTCTCCTGCTAGCCACTACCAACTAATTTATCAAATGCATGATAATAATAATGACTTTATTCTAAAAGCTATTTCGACAGTACTCTACAGAATAATCAGCATGTCGTGTAGCATCAATTGGACAGAGATGGTATGTACGTATACATCGCAAAATGAAATAAGTAGAAAATACATAAAAAAGATAAGAATATCTACTACATCTACAACTTCCCCTAAAATTTGTAGTGAATTTAGTTGATCAGTCACATTAGCAGTTAGATTTATAATACGTAGAAAGTAACACGCTCATCTTCAATTAGTTTGCTTTCAAAAACAGAAGTTGATTAGTTAATTCGTTTCTAATACTATTTTCATCCCAGAGTAGACGACTAAATACGGTATTGTAGAGGTTTTATATTTTGTAGTACGTGCATAAAGTCTTATGTACTTCCAGATAACTGACACGTTAAGAGCTTTGAGTAGAGAGAATGTTGGTCATCTGACAAAATAACTCCTACTAGATGCTTACTTGAGTTAATATGTTTATCCACAACTGTTTTAACTGAAAGGTTTAGGAGCATACCACTAGTTCTGCTGACAACCTTCAAAGTTCAACGCAATACAACATACTCTTTTTCAGCAAACCAGGAAAAAATAAAGGGGACAAGAGAGGAAAACAGGCAAGATGTAGGAGTTTATAACACATAACAGAAGAGGCTGAGTAATACAAGATAATCTTAACTTCCTAATACAGAAAGTTAGGTGGAAAATTCTTTTGGAAATAGTAGGAGATGGGAGGATCAGGTAAGATCCAGAGAAAAACACATCAAGATAAATCATACTTCTAACATTCCTAATATAAAACTGTCAGTAGAACAGGAATCATGAGAACTAAGCAGTTTACACAGGTAATGTTCACGACTGAAACTAAAGTTTATGGTGCAAAATTTTGAAGAATTAAGCATAAGACCACTGACGGAGGTTCATCGTCTAAGAAGAGATAGGAAATAATTCAGTTGGGAGCAATCTGCTGAAGAGGACATAGGTATGGAACTGTTAGGTCATCAGCACATTTAGTCAAATTGACACCAGCTGAAGATGGTAGGTCATGGAGAAGAATGAGAAAAGACATGGGGAAAGGATGGCTCCTTGGGGAACTCCAATCACAGACAGCAATGGAGTGGAGCTTTCCCTCTGTTGTTTCCTATCAGAGAAATAGGACTGCAGCTACTGACTATTCAGAACTCAGTATTTGTCCCGGTTAGCTCGTCCAACAAAAGAGGTCCTGGACAGAATCAAATAGCGAAGTGTAGTCTAAAAAGACACACCTGCACCTACTTACTTGGTATTTTTACCAAGATTATAAACAGTATTGTGATATAAGAGAGTGGTGGTATCCAAATTGCTTCTTCTGCCTTTATATGGAAGTTGATTAGGGTCTCTGAAAGCCTTCAGTGAAGTCTGGAGTACAAGTATTATTAGCTTCTCTTTTATTTTTAAGAACTGAGAGGTAACTGCAATCAGACAGTATTTTTTACATGCACCTGGAGTCCTAGACTTAGGTACGGGGACTATGTTAATATCTCCCAGGCAGCTGGTATGGTGTTTTCTAAAAACGATCTGTTGAACATGTTAGCTAATGGATGGTATAAAACATCTGCACACTTCGTGAATACAAAGCTTGACTTACCATCTGGAGTTGAACTGATAGAGGGGTTCAGGGATTTGAGACATCTGAAAACATCTTTCGTGGTGAACTCTAAACAACGTTCTTCATTGGACATAGGAAATAAAGTGGGATCAAACAAGTGAGCTGATGTATAAATAAAATGGTTTGTTCAAGGCACAGACATCGTTATGTGCTTCTTTACTAAGTGTTTACTACCAGTGAGGTCTTTAAAAGGTTTCCACATGCTGGAAGAGCCGTTGCATGATAAAAGTTTCTAGTTAGAGATTAGACGTTTAATTTCCAACCTAATTAAAGCGTTCAGTCGACGAGCACCAGCATTATCATTTACTTCATACAGTCTTTATTTTTCTCTTCTTAGTTTGTCAAACTGAGAGAAGACATACCATTGAGGCGTAGAAATAGCTTTTCACTGGGGCAACATATATCTAGGCAGAACTTGAGATAGCATGTCACACCATCAGTAGTATCATTCAAAACATCGTTGTCAAATATATTCAATCTGCACATTGTAGGATATCTCTTACATTAAGTGTGTTACTGTATGAATAGTTTCTACATACAACCTTCTTATATGTGAAGGCTGTTTTGTGCAGTTTGTCATATATTTTGGGCAAAACACGTATGATGCAATGATCTGACCTGAGTAGTGGGGATCTCTGTTGAGTTTCTCATTTATCAGTATCATTGACAAATATCAAGTCCAGTGTTGCATGCTGACGTGTTGTGGAATTAACAAGGTTTTGATGACCAAGAGTTTTGAGAAAGCTTTGGTTACGAGAGTTGAAATCAGCACATATTATCGAAAGGGAACCATAGAGTATAGAGGCTGCGGATTCTGTGAATATGTAAGAGAAACTGGATAATTCAGAGTAACTACAGCCAGGCGTCACATAAATATTTGTTGTATATATAAAGGGATACCTATGGAACTGATGAGCTTCAGCTAGCAGTGAATAGGTTTGTTAAAGCAGTGCCTAGATACATTCAAACGAAACAACTACAGCTTACATTGCGATAACTGAATAATCAACACTTGCTAATGAACTCCTGAAAATACTTGAAATCTCTTTAAACGAACTGCTAACGAAGATCAAACGTACGTGAGAGTATGAAATATTTCTTCCCTCTATCATGTGCGAGAAATCAATTGTCCTGTTCTGTTACATCACCCTTGTTTTAGTATGCGTAACCACTTTAAAAAATTTCTTTTGAATAAGTAGAATAGAATAACCCTGGGAACATGAAACTCTAATTTAGTACTAAGGAAATCAATTGTTAGTCTGAGAATTATATTTTAAGCTTGAAATCTCAAGAAATAGAATCACTAGTTGTCTTGAAGCCCACTACCTCAGTGTACTTTTAATGTATTGTAATACACTTTGCGGTGTTAACTGGTTGCGGGCAATCGGTAAGAGGCTTAGGTTTTGAACCAAGGTTTTCAGCTTCTTGATCCTTGTCAGTAGGGCATATGTGTGACCTCAACGGAGGTGGTGTCCCCATTGAGATACAAACCCGCATAACCTAACACTACAGTCAGGGACATAACCACTGAGTTATTCAGGGTGTGATTGACCTCATGTAGGACTGAGTTGGATACATTGGTTAATCACTGGGAAGTGATCATTTTAGTGTTATCTACTCCTGGGGGATGGCTGAAGTTCTCAGGAGAGCTTATCTTCCCCAAGGCTGATGGCACAACTTGTTGACAAATGAAACAAGCACAAATCCTAAGTCCACAACATCTTACCGACTGTCTCTAGCTATCTAACATTCTTCGAAGTACACAGCGATTGTGAGCTTGTTAGCTTATTGACCAAATTACATAGTGATGGATAGATAACGGTCCGCGCTGAGGAATAGACAACATGAAATTGATCGCTCACCAGTGACTAATCAACGTATACTGTGTAGTTTGACAAATAATTTTTATAAATTTTTGGGAGGCTCTGTGGTTGAAATAACTGACTATTGGGTTTGGTGTTCAACATCACATGTACATTCATCCTGTTAAACAGAAACTTAATGAATAAGAAGGACGCTCATCGCATACAAAAAACACAGTGACTCTTTTAGTGAACGTACGAACACTATCAGTAGCTCACTGTCACCTTCAGATCTGTGTTTTCTGGCATTTCTGATCCAAAAATATCACCACTTATCAATATCAGAAGTCAAAACTGGTTAGACTAAGTAAGTATTAGTGCCATTAAGATAATTAAGAACAGTTTCGAGGAATGCAACTGTCAACTTAACAGTGTTCAGACACTCAGTCTAAGCAAATTGTTTAGTAATAAACATTGGTACCTTTCTAGGTTTTCATAAAAGGTATTTTTAGATAAAAACCATTCTAATGTCAATAATTTTATTATTTAATATATCCTCATTTTCATGACGAAAAATTTTAAAGTGCATAGTGTTTGATATATGCAGCTTCAACACAACTGTTAACCTATCCATTTAACAATTTCTTCAATTGAATAACTAATCATACAAGAGAATTAAAACTTATAATTCGTTTAAGGTTTATGCAGATAGGTAGTATTCATCATTGACTGACATCATCTGGAGAATCACTGAAAACCTGAGAGCACTGAACAACCGTTTCGTCCTAGCAGTACGGATCCCTCAGCGATGCAAGTGTCAACGTAAAATAATTACAAATCATCTTAACTACCTTATAATTATCAGTGCAAGTAGCAAGCGCTCAGTCCATACACTTAGCATGTTGAGCAATATAACTGATGCTAATTTTCACATTTCTTCTGTTCCAAATGATGTTAGAGACCATTTGGTTAGTATTTGTGTGCTTAAAATTACCTACATATGTTTGGTTTTGGCGGTAAAGATACTAATCATCATCCTTATTTTATGCGTAACTTCTAAAGAGAAACTTTTGAAACGGCTTAAATACAACTATGACTAATTGTATAGGAGTTAGGAAATTGTTATATTGCATAAAATGAATTTATTGTTTTTCACAACTAAAGAAAAATATTGGTTAATTATTAGCTTAGTGAGTTCAAGAACTTTCAAAGATTTACCAGTGGTCTCTGTTACAAGTTATAGATGGTCATTAAAAGTCGGTGTTACAACTTCAAAATTTTATCCATGCCATAATAATTTGTCTAGAAATCAGCATATTCGATCTGCAGATTCTTCTGGAGGCTACTATACTTCTAAAACAATAAAGTTTATGTCCACTAAAGAATAGTTTAGTCTCATTGAGTATGGCTTGAAATGTTCAGCTGCACGAAACCTAGGTACAGGGCTTTCCCGTCGATTACTTCTAACCAGCCAACATCTAACAAAGTTCACTACACTGGTAAGCCTCTTAGCTTGGTGATCACATTCCAAAAGTGATTGACAGAATTCAGTCAACACTCAAAACTAGTTAATATGAGATTGGTTATTCTCCAGTTTTGCAGGAGGTTAGTCACGGCCTGAATGGGTCACTGGTATCATTGCTGACTACAAGTCTGTTGGACGCGTGTTCGAACCCTGGATACGCCTTGCTTTTTTGTGTCAACAAGCTAGAAACCCAAGCTCCAGGATCTCTGCCAATCGTTTCCAACCACTTAACAATATTTAACTGTTCACTGCAACAATGAAATTTCTTACATCTCATAACTCAGTCCATAATGAAACTTACATTCGGCGCAGTTCATACTGAAGTAAATTTCAGCCTGTTTGAAACAGAATACTGCCAACGTCTTAAACTCAGGTTACTTTCTAAACTTTTCAAGAAACCAATCAAAATTGTATAAATGAGTTTTACTTGTCTCATCCTCTTTGTTTAATTACCCTTCTTAAGATATAATCACTGATGCTTCAGTTTAAAATGGTTTGTATCTTAGTATGAAAAGTTTATAGGATGTTGTTCACATCCTTCTTTGTTTCAGTCATTCGACTAAAATGTCACAGATGACATCGTAGTCATTCAGTAAGGTTATGTGTATACACAATAAAGCATATTATTTTTGTCGGTAAATTTGGATATAGTGATTTTCACCAATTTTTCATTGGGTTGTCATCCGGATAATATACCAATGAATAATGGTAATAATAATAATAATAATGCTAAAAAAAATAGTACATCAAATCATTCCATACTGTGTGTTGTTGTTGATGTAAAGATGTTTAGAATGAAGCTGATGATGGGAGTAAATGCAAAATTTCCCTATTACATTTATTTGTCACTAGTCACTAAGAGGTAGGTAATTGCTTTGCCGGTTGTCTGTCCAACCTATTTGCTTGCACATATTGAATCTCAGCAGTCAGTTTTTATTGGTATAACCTATAACCTTACTGTAGAACTTTGGTCCGATAAAATTTAATTTTTAAGCTTATTTCTATAACGTGTAATGTAATCATAGATTTGTTTTCAAACATCTTAACATCTGTTTATCTTTACGGGATCTGTTTTAGACATAGTCTATGCTGCTTCACGCTTAGATTTTTCTGCTGAGATGTCTCCCTTAAGAAATTTTCTTACGATATAAAATTATCACAATATTAACCCAGTTTTTTTGAAAGAAGTGTTCCTAACCTACCAAATAGAGAAAAATTGTGCATTCCATATTACTGTCTTCATCCACTCTAATATTGTCTTGGAGAAAGTTCTTACTTAGAATACAGTTCATTTCTGTCATATTACCATACTTTAACAACAATGTAAAAACAGTTGGTCTGAATATTTCCTCCTTGGTTTTTTAATTTCATTTATTTTTCTGCCTCAGTACAATTTTAAACAAGTACATTGTCTAGCTAGAAATGACATGTATATATATACCATTAAAATAAAACCAACCACAGATATACTAGAGTGAGAAATTCAACATTAGCCGGAAGTATCCATTACCAGTGTAAGTGAGTCATACAGAGTAACAGTAAATACAAAAATATGCCATCAGTATTGTTTTATCTCACTATTAGTCAAGAAAAGCGTATCTTGCGTTTCTCTGTGTACTCAAAACACTATCTTATTGTCAGACATGCTCTTCATTTGAACTTTATAATCCCACTTTTAAGTTTACAGTTAAATCGTCAGTCGTCCAGGTTACTTGTATGGTTGAACAGTGAAACAAATTCCATTAAAAAAAAGTTCTTATTTACTATCTTAGTAAAGTTACTATTTTCAGTACAAAAAGACACTGATATGAGATGTGAAATCAGCTCCATCTGGTTAGTCAAACTTCATGTTATCATTCGCTATGTCGTTTAAGAAGTAAAACTGCATCATCAACAAAGTAAATAGTGCTAAAGGCTTAATATTCTGCATAACACTTGTCATATATACTGGTTGAATAGTTTTTTTAAACTCAGTTGTAATGTAAAGAAACATGAAGTATTGTGTAATGCCAAACAGACATTTGAATGCAATAACTAGTAATTCACCTTGAGAAGCATAACCGAAAATCAAGGCTAACCGAAAAATTAAAAGGTGAAGTAATGAATGTTGACTGCAGAAATAGAAAATCTTCAGGTGAAACCTCCTTTTTGCTTTTCTCTTTCACTCAGTAACATACAGAAAACGTAATCACATAGTAAGCTTTTTCAGCGAATGGACAAAACGGCGAGATTTCCAAATACCATTTTAAACTAACACATTCAGTTATAGAAGTCACAATGCAAGATTAAATCAGCATACGGTCACATTTTATAATTATTATTAGTCCCTTGGGTTCCGAATGGGACATACAACTTCAGTAACACCCCTCCATTTCACGATACTCTCTACAATCTCCTCTAAATGCCTCCATCACTACACACAATCTGTCATTCACCTTCCTCACACAATCAACTACATCTCAACCCCACCTCGGACAACCAAATCATCACTCCCCACTTGGCTTCAACTCGATGGCCTCACATCACCTAGTCTGGCACACGATATCCCCAATCCATCTTCTCACTGTATGCACAATACAATCCGTCTCCTCCTTCTTCGTCTGCATATTTGTTGGACAATGCCATCTTGGTTGGTTCGTTGACAACCAGCCAGCCAGTTAGCCAGCCAGACAGTCAGTCAGTCAGTCACTCAGCCAGCCAGCCAGCCAGCCAGCCAACCAGGCACCGTTCCCCTTGCTGCTCATTCTTATTATTCTCCCCATCAATCTGATCAATCTTCAGTATCGACTGAGTGTGTGTGGCAGCTGTAGATGATGTGTGTCTGCAGTTCGTTGGAAGTGCATTTCGTGATGCACCCAGTCTCTCAACCACCACACAGAGCACTCACTTGACTGATATCAGTGTAGAAAATCTGGATGTTTTTCATGCATTATGCTGAGTGAAGTGGAGGGGAGAGTTGTGGAGTGTAGTGTAGTGTAGTGTAGTGTAGTGGAGTGTAGTGGAGTGGAGTGAGGTGAAGTAGATCTGCACACTGATTTCAGATTGACGGTGGCTTGTATTGCTGTCTTCCCCATCCTGACTTTCACATCGTCATGTGTGTTGTCGCTGCGTGTATTTGAAGCGATGCTGTCTAGGTGGGTGTGTAGGTGAAATACAGACTACTTCTGTTTGATTCCCCTCACTGATGGTGACTGCTGCTTGTTGTTGTTGTTGTTGTTGTTGTTTACTGAGTATCTTCATCACCTCTGTCTTCTCCACGTTCACCTGAAATATCGTCTTCACCGCATCACCTCCTCCGTCAACTTGTTAGTTTTCGCCAGTTGATCCTCGAGTTTGAGTGACAAGACATAAGACATAAGTCGGTATTGGCGACATCTGAATTTCCCAGATTGTTTTCATCGCATCGGTCCAGTCAGCGTATACACCTCTTCTCACAGTTGTCTGTTACATGATCCAGTCCCGTCCCGTCCAGTTTAGTCTAGTCGAGTTGACCAGAATCAGGGAGATCATCGTTTGTGATGGTAGGTGGTGGCAACCTTGTCTCACTCCTTCCTGTCTTCACTTCTCTTCAATTCACTTCACCTGAAAGACGTCACTGAGCTTTGCATTGTGGATCATATGGCATGTGGCGTCATACAGCATATATGTGTTGAATGAGGTCGATAAGTGTTTGTGGCACTGAAACGGTAGTTTTGAAGTAGTTGCTTGCCTTTTTACTTCTCGGTCGTCGGTGTCGAATGCCTCTTGAACATGGATGAATTTGAGGTGGAGAGTTGATTGTTATTCTATGCTGTGTTCAATGATGATACTTAGCGTAGTGTTGCTGCCTGGGTAGGCGTGGGGGTGAAAAAGACTTATTTTTTTAGATTTCTTCCGTTGATGTTGGAGTTAATGCTATACAATGCAAGAATATAAACAATAGAACTCTAAAGTCATCGGTCTCAGGTTTTTTGATAGATTTCTAGTTTCTTTCATGTTGATTGTTTTTCAGACTTCATGTTCACTGGTATTTTTTGCATGTTGGACTCAATTAATAAATCTACTGAACTTTAAGAATGACGTTTGACACACAAATGTACCGAAAATATTTGAAAATTTATTCTTCTTAAATTACAGTCTGATAGTGTTCATGAGCAGTTCATTCTCTTTAAAACCTGTCAGCTGCATGCTCATATGTCAAACTGGGTTTTCCATATTTATGCTCAAACTTAAAAGACTTTGATATCAAACTGCACAGCGTTATAAAATGGTCTGTTGAGTTAGTGCTAAATTTTACCATGGTTAGCTATCGAATTTTCGGTATAACCTGGGAGAAACTGATGCTGTAGCCGTAGCGATTGAAAATGTAGTTGTAGTGTATGTGGGTAACATTATGTACGTAATCTATGTTACTCGTTTTCTTTTCATAAATGCAGTTGGACTGCGTAGCTGTGATGAAATCAGTCAAATTTTCATAAGACTATCTATTTATTAATCAGCTCCTTTTTCGTAACCAGTTATAGATCATTAAGCGTTTTAAACCTAACAGGCCAGATTTTCAAAATGGTCAGAAAAAAATCCTTTACCTGTTCAATTTCAGTGCTTTCAGTTGGTATGCATGATAATGGTAAAGATTTGATACCCCTAACACGTAACGATGAATATGTCCCGCATTGGAATCAGAGGAGAGTTTTTCACGAGTGTTCCCCAAGCAATTCAGACCTGCTTCACTTAGTGACGTAATTAAAAAGCTAACCATCAGGTCATCGAAGTTACGACTAATCCTACACAGGATATGGTTGTGTATGCTAATTAGTCACCAGATGGTAACTAGTGTGGCTGTTTAGTTCCCTACAGATTATGCGTCTATTATAAAAGTGGTCT